TACAGCATCTTGGCCAGCTGAATTATAGAAGAAAAAAGGCCTGTACCTTCCTAGTACAGTGATGAGGGAAGAAAATTATGTTGTGGTTGATGATGATGATGGTGGCATTATACTATAGCAAACATTTAACCAGCATTGTTTCACTAATTCTCACCCTTGATAAGATGTATACAATTTATTATTATCTCCATTTTACAGATGAGATAACTGAATCTTTGGGTGTTAAATTAACTCACCTGTTTAGATGACTTGTAAGTAGCACAGTCAGGATTCAAACTCAGGTCTAACTGGCCTACATGCATGCTTTCAGTAACTATAATTTGTATTGAAACTTTGGAAGCAAATTCATTTGTATACAGTCTTGTTTGAGTTATTATTTCATTTTATTTATTTTGATACAGAGTCTCACTCTGTAGCCCAGGCTGGAGTGCAGTGGCAGGATCACAGCTCACTGCAGCCCTGACCTTCCAGCCTCAAGAGATCCTCTCACCTCAGCCTCCTGAGTAGCTGGGATCACAGGTGCTTGCCTCCACGCTGTTAATTTTTGTATTTTTTTTGTAGAGATGGAGTTTTGCCATGTTGCCGAAGCTGGTCTCAAACTCCTGAGCTCAAGTCATCCTCCTGCATTGGCCTCCCAAAGTGCTGAGATTACTGGTGTAATTTGAGCCCCCATGCCTGGCCTGGCCTTAATTTAATAGCCTCATCTATTTGTCTCTAACAGGAAATTGGCTCTTTGACTTAATGTGGAAACTTATCTACTTCTAAATGCTGATAATTATTTCCAGACTTTAATAATTTTGTAGCTAGAAGAAATCTTTCAGATCACCCACTTCAAACTTCTTATTTTAAAAATAAAGACAATAGCCTTCAGAAAAATCCTCGGTGACCCAAGGCATGTATACACACACATAACTATACATGCATATATATAGGTGTGTGTATGAATATATACACATATATACATATGTATATGCATACATGTATTTATATGCATATATACACACGTGTGTATGTATATATACATGCATATATATGCATCCATATGTATACATATGTACACATACACACAGAGATACGTATACACACACACACACACACAGGTACGTATATATGAGAGATACTTGAGGTACCTGAGTCTTTTGGCTTTAAAGTGTCTCAAATGTTTTCATATATCTTGGAGTTGAGTTTTACTGTCTCTCATACTTCTTACTGTCTAACTAGCTTGCTCTTTTTTTTTTTGCCTCCTTTTATCATTTTTTTCTCATCCAGTTGCTGTTGCTAAAGAGAAAACAGACCACCAAGCATGTTAAAGTCATGCTTATTATAAAAGGTAGTAGACTGTGAGTGAATGCTTGGGGAAACGTCAACAGATAAGATGGACTTTTTTTTATGTGACCTTGGTGACTCTGACAACCAAAATGAGTGATTGAGACATAAATCTCAATCATGGAGGCTTACTGAGCCAGCTTGAGGACAAGTTACAGATGCCTGTGAGGCTGTTTTTCCCAAAGAGGTTCTCAGAAGGTTTAGTAGTTATATATCTTCCTTAAAAAGCAGGAGGCAACAGTGAGAGAAATGATTACAGACTTGTGAGACTTTAATTAGGGCCCTGTAAGTTTACATTTTATGTAAGATAATGTGAACATTTGAAGAAAAGGGGAATGGGGGGAGCAGACATCTTGAGGAGTGAAGGAATGCATAATCTCATTTTAGTTTTGTTCTATACTGGGAAGATAAGTCATTAATGGACATCATCAATGTGGAATCTTTCAAAAGGGCCAGTTTCTGCTTAGCCCCTGGGGAAGAAAGCCTAATGGTGGTTAGTGAGGGAGGGGTGCAGCGAGGTGTGCCCCAATCGCATTCCATCATGGCCATGAACTTAGCTTCCAGGGTTTCCCTGGGGTCCCCTCAGTCAACAGGGGGTCCCTTCAGTCATTTGAGGGCTAGACTTTTATTTTTCTTTCTTCATAGATCTTAGTTTCTAGAAAGCAGGGTTTTGGTTTTTTGTATGTGTCTTTGTTTTTCCATTTGTTGTTTTCTGTTTGTTTTTGTCTCATTCTAGGCCATGGCAAAGTTCGTGGATAAATCATGTCTGAAAAAAGCTAAAAACAGCTGAATGCCTGTACATGATCACATTTTCAGTCTAGAACACCAATCCTATTTTTACTTAAAAGTTTTCTCTATTGTGGAAAGTATGACTCAGAAACATGGAAAATTTTGAAATACAGCCACAGAAATCACTTTTCCTTTCCAGCCTCCTATTCTCACTCCTTTGGGATCCAGTGAACCGAGCAGGGCTGAGACTGTACAAAGAAGACGCTGCCGCTCCTAGTTATGCGCCTTAGTTCAGCCCAATCAGAGGTGGCTGTTGCCACATCTCTAGGTGCTGAGATGAAGGTGGGAGTCAGAGAGGTTTCCATGTCCCTCTAATCCAGCCTGCTTTAAACCATTGAGCAGATAGTACAAGGGTTTAGAGGCTGACACGGGGCAGGACAAAGCAGCTTATTCTGCATTTCTCAACATGCGGCAGGTCAGTCATGAGCAAATAGTAACAAAATAAAAAGTCATGAGAGACCTTTATTACATGAGAAGTAGAGTATTTTATATTTGGTTATTGCTGCTGTTTCTTAGAGGCCTGATAAAAGCATCTTTTTTTTTAAGACGAAGTCTCACTCTGTCTCCCACGCTGGAGTGCAGTGGTACAATCTGAGCTCATTGCAACCTCTGCCTCTGGAGTTCAGGTGATTCTCTTGACTCAGCCTCCCAAGTAGCTGGGATTTCAGGCGCGTGCCACCACACCTGGCTAATTTTTGTATTAGAGACGGAGTTTCATCATGTTGGCAAGACTGGTCTGGAACTCTCAACCTCAGGTGATCTGCCCGCCTTGGCCTCACAAATTTCTGGGATTACAGGCATGAGCCATAGCACCCAGCCGTATCTTTTTATACTTGAATTCTGAGCCAACTGAGAACCGCAACCGTAAAGACAGGCACGTAGGGGTCACAACATCACCCTGATTGCTGATAAAGGTATTACGGAAGAATGTGCACAAGTCAACGTTAATCCTCAAGCACAATCCTGAGTAGACTTACTCACCTACTAGGGCAGGCATCTCTACATCAGCAGAGTTGGATGTGGGCTTCTAGCCAGGAGAAGAATGGGTCCTGCTGGCCAGTTTCTCATTCTCAGCTCTTCTGTCTGATAAGTCAGCTCAGCTCCTGTGGAGTAAATTAGGGGCCAGAGACAGGCAGGCAGATTCGGGCAATGGTGCTCCTTCCTCATGAAACGAAATATGAAGATGGAGAATAAGCATCCCCAGATATCATGAGTGTTCATGGACATTTGATCTAATATTTATTGTTCTATATATGTACTAGGCTTTATATATGTGGTGTCGTTTGCCCTTCAAATACTTTACCTCACCCTAGGCCCAATGCAGTCCCACGAACACTATAAAGGAATTATAAGTATTATGATCACCATTTTATGGATCAGAAAACAGAGTCTTAGAGAGGTTATTTAACTTACTCAAAGAACATAGATAATAGTTAGGAGAGTTAAAAGTCAAATACAAACCTGTGTTTCATTAAAACCCATTCTTTCCACATCCCTACTTGTCATAGTAATACGTCTGTTGATACCAAGCACATTCGATTTCTTAGCTGAAAACCATTCTAAAGCTGTGTTGATGGAAATTTGGTAATTCACTAATATAAAGTTTAGACTGTGATTTAACTTTTTACTTTGAAATAATTTTAGACTTACAAAAAAGATATAAAGATAACAGAATTCCTGTATACCCTTTACTCAGCTTCCTTAATGTTAATATCTTACATAACCATAGCATAATTATCAAAACAAGAAACTAATGTTGGTACAGCACTATTAGCTAAACTACATGCTTTACTCAAATTTCACCTTGGTTGTCACTGTGGACTGAAGTTTTTGAGAGTAGGAACTGTATTTGTGTGCATTTTTATATCCACAGTGCCCGGTAGTGTATCTGGCCGAGAGTTAATGAAAAGTGGCTGTGAAATGGATAAATGGATGACTGGATTTTAGGTCCCAAACTACAGCTTGTATGTGCTTGTGTGCCTGTACATCTCACAGGTTTAGAAGCACATGAGGAAAGTCTGTGGCTATGATTTGAATGAATGAATGTTCTTCAAAACTAAATTCCACATTGACTTTATGAAGCACAGGCCTTTAGAACTGTGAGCAATTTGTAAAAAAGAGTGTACTAACAAGACGGAAAGAAAGATAAAGTGGAATCTAGTAAATGGGCAGAAGCCTGTGGTATTACGTTCATTTTATTGTGTATATATATGTGTGTATCCATATGTGTGTGTACATGTATGTGTATGTGTACCGGTGTGCGTATATGTGTGCATGTATGGAAAATATGTGCACATGCATGTGGGTATGTGCACAAGAGTGTGTGTGTGAGTGTGTGTTTCATAACACACTTCAGTAAGTACCTGGGCAAGAGATGTAATAGCAGCTGGCAGTCAGTCCTGGATTTCCAGGCAGGTTTTAGAGCTTTATTGTAAAACAAATTCATGGAAAATATCTCGCTTGAAGAAGCAATTCAAGCAGATGCTTTTAAGGCTCTCCTTCCTTTTGCACTGACTTCGGAGGAGATAACATTAATGAAGCATGAATTTGCTATGACAATGGTTTCTGAAGACTTGAGAAATAAACACTCTTTCAGCTTAACCTTTATAACCAAAGCACATGAAGTCAGGAGAAAGGCAATATTCAAAGCACACAATTCCTATTGGTAGCTTTAATGGGCTCTAAAATGGCCATTTTTCTTGCTGTTTCCTCCATCCCTTTTTAACAGAACTTAAACTATTAATGTGGCAAAAACTAGAAAGGCAAGAATATGGCATTATTCTTAGTTGGGCAAAACTGGAATACAAAATTGTGATGAGAGCTGATTTTTTTTCACAAAAGTTCAACTTCATAAAGGTTTTAATTATGTTATTGTTGTTGTTTAGATGGAAGACGTCATAGCACGTATGCAAGATGAAAAAAATGGAATTCCTATCCGTACGGTCAAAAGCTTTCTTTCCAAGATACCTAGCGTCTTCTCTGGTAAGTCTGCATGGAGCATAGCTCTATTTTTTCCTATAAGTCTTAGATAACTATTTAAAACTGATTGCAGCTGTTCACGATTGAAACTCTCTCTCTGATCCATTATTCATAACTACTTGCGAAATGCCTGTGGCGTATTTATCATCATGTGAGACATTTGAAATGGCAGTAAAACAAAACACCAAAAATCACGACCCCGCTGTAGGTTAGTTTGTGAAGGCAGAATGAACAACTGTGAAGTAAAACAATATTAAAATAAATAAAGATGTGTAAAAGCCAGTGTTACGAAGCTTGTATATGGAAATTAGGAGGGTGAAAAAAAAATCAATGATTTCTTTTTCCTGACTGATGGGGAGTCAGGAAGGGGTATCTACAGAGCAGTGGTGAGCTGTTTGAAAGACGAGAAAGAGCCGTATTCGCTCAAGACCACAGCAACCACCAGCTGCGTTCACAGAACTCGACAGTGACCAAACCGCAGAGAACTGGGGTCAGGTTATGAGGGTCTTTGAAAGCTAGCCAAAAGAATCTAATTCTGATAAAAGGGGAAATATGGAGACATTTAACATTTTTTACACAGGCCTTTAGAGGATGTTGTGATGAAAATACTCGGAATAAACTGGCATTCAGTAAGGGCAATAGCCACTGTGACAAGGGTATGTCTTTGGCGGGAATAGTTTGGGAGCCCGGTCCTGATACCCAAGGGCTGAAGGAATAGAGGAAAAGAGCATGGGCGGGAGGGGGTGAATGGGGGGCATGCAGAATAAAAGACGTAGCCCAATGGATTTGGTTTTTTTTTGTTGTTGTTTGTTTATTTTTAAATGGGGAGACTGAGAGATAAAAGAATCATTATCCAAAGTGGGGAACCCCCACGGGTTTGATTGGCAGTGACTATAGAAACCCAAGACAAAATGAAGAGTAGTAAGTTAAACATCTGTGCTGTGACTCCGGAAGGCAGTGAAAGCTCCGGTTTTGGGGTCTGAGTTGTGCTGGGGCATGGCCTGGCACAGCTCAGGGAAGAGGTGAGATCTGACAGCCCAAAGCCTCAGCGGAGAGGGGTGAGAAAAAGGCGGCCGATGCTGAGTGTGGGTGGGAAGGGTGCTTGATGGGGTCCCTGTACAAGGGTTGTGGGCTGCTTCCTCATGACCGGGATCAAGGGAGGATTCGTGATCAGGAGGCTGTCAAGCCTGGGAAGAAGGCAGAGATCAGGACGGGAATAACAGGGAGGCAGGCCTCCGTGTTGGAGTTTGAGAGCTGTGTTGCTCTCAGAAACAAGAGGAGCTTAGAGCTGAGAGCTACCGTGGAATGACATTTTGCTCTAGCAAAATGTGTCCTCCTTTTTCCCTGTTACTCCCTCTCACTCCCACTTTGTTCCCGTTTCTTGCTCTTTCTTAATGATGCCTTGTACTTTTCACATCTGCGGCTTCACTCCATCTCTCCTCTCCTCACTGTCCCACGTACAGGCCATTCTGACTGTGAAATTCCATCCATTCTTCAGTAGTCTGTTCAGAGAGCTCTGGTGAAAACTGTCCTGAACTTCTTGTCTCTGCTCTCAAAGACCTTGGTGTTTTGCATCTCTTAAAGCAGTTCTTATGCTCCACTGTGTCTTAGAGTTATTTTGTATATGTCCTGTATCTCTAGCTAACCCTTAAACTCCATTTGGTCAAGGACTCAGAGAGTTCACTTCACATCTAAGCATACATATAAAAATGTTACTCATATATTGATGAGCTAATGAAAGGGATGAAATTATCACCTTTAGAATTTAGACAGATAAATGTACTGTGTGGCCAACCTGCACTGGGAATTATGGTCAGTTTAACTGTGCACAGCCTATTTAGAAGCATTCTAATTCGGGAATTATGAAAAAACGTAGGCTAAACGAAAAAGGTTTGCTCATCTGATTCAGCTTGGCTGCACGTTTGAGATATCCACTCTGTTGGAGTCTCAGATTTTTGCTTGAGTTCTTCAGCAGTATCTTGAGCAATATCTCAACTTGGAAGAATTCTTGGTTGACAACATTAAGATTTTAATTGAAAAGTAAGATTGGACATATAGATTGAAAATTAACCTGGGAATCTCTGATAATTGTTTTAGTATTTACTGATATAAAATAACATTTGTAGCTATTAAAAGAAAATATCAATGACATTTTTGAGGTTAATGTAATTAGACACAAGTAATCATTTTTTGTTCCCTGGAAACTTTAGGGGTGCTTTCTGCCTCATAGGTTCAGTTAGATGCTTTGTCGTGGATTTAGTTGTTACATCTAGTATTACGTCTAGCATGTATCAGCTTCTTTATATTAATATTCCCAAGTTATAATGTTTTCAGGCTCCATCCACTTTACTAGAAGTTTTCAGTCTTTTCTAGTAATATCCCTCCCCAGATATTTCTTATAATCCCTGGGGATCGTTAATTCTTCTGTTCTTTTGTGGCCCAACTTGAAGCCAACTGCTGGCTTTCCCAGTTTTTTCAGCTTCTCCCCTCTCTCCATGGTCCACTGCAGAGCTTCTAGTGAAACAAGGAATCTGCTAGCTTCATTGCCCTTAGTAGAACCAGAAAGCAGTTGTGAAGGCCTGTGACATGTGAAAGGAGGGCAGTGCAGTTGTAGACCGGCGTCAATCCATACTGTGAACCGTTCCATGGGGAAGGAAGGATCTCAAACGTTGTCCATCTAACTTTCTCAAGTTACCAGTCTGTGCTCCTTAAAGCCTTATTACTTCCATGGACCATTAGTATCAGAATCACTTGGAAACTTACAGGGAGAGATGTGTTCAAGAATGCAAAAATCATAGCCAGGTTGTTCCAGCATTCTATGCCACTGAAGAAGGACTATAGTTAACAATAATACTTAGCTTCAGATAGCTAGGAGGTCATAGAATGGTCCTAATGGAAATAAATGATAAATAAGATGATGGATATGTTGATTACTCAAAACTGTTAAATGTTAATCGTTTCTCAAACACTCACTATTTATCCCATACATTATTTGTTTCTTGTTTTGTTTTGTTTTGTTTTTTTGAGACAGCCTTGCTCTGTCACCCAGGCTGGAGTGTGGTGGTGCAAACATGGCAGCCTCGCCCTCCTGGGCTCAAGTGATCCTCCTACCTCAGCATCCCGAGTAGCTGGGACCACAGGCACATGCCACCACACTTGGCTAATTAAAAAATTTTTTTTTTTTTTTTTTTGGTAGAGACAAGATCTCACCATGTTGCCCAGGCTAGTCTTGAACTCCTGGGCTCAAGTGATCTTCCTGCCTCAGCCTCCCAAAGGCTGTGATTATAGGCATGAGCCACTCTGCCTAGTCATCATACATTATTTGTATCAAAATATCACTATGTACCCCATTAATATGTGCAATTATTATTTGTCAATTTTAAAAGAAAATGCAGTATCTGGACCCATTCCCAGATGTGCTTCACATTGAATATGAAAGTTTAAGATGTATTGCCTTAAAGTGTGTCCACAGAAGCTGGGCAGCTCTGGGGAGCATGCTTGTTTTATTGAGGGCTCTGGGATCACTGACCATCTTGCTTCTGCCAGTCTTTCTCTTTGAAGGGCTATAATAATCTCTGCAGTATGGTGTCAAACAAGGCCACCCCAATCTATCTAATGACATTTTTTTTCTAATTTTACTTGGGGAAGAAAAAAGCAGTTAAGAAGAAGAATCTAGTTCCTTCTCCTTCCTTTTCTCCCAAGCTGAGGGTCTCTGTTGCCCCTAAGATTGATAGCTTTCAACAGCTTTGTGGAGGAGTGGACCCTATCCAACTCCAGTGGACAACTCCCGTGCTTCAAAGGAAAATGTAGGTCATGGTGGCCAGGTAATGCCCACATCCACCTCAAGTGAAAACAGCTGTGTTGAGAAAGTGATGACATAACCCAATCCCCCCTGCAACTTCTGCAACCCAGACCCAGAATCATGTCAAAGAATGCTGTGACAAATATAACCAACCTAATAATAGGGTTCGTTTTGTTTTTGTTTTTCCTGCTAAGTGCATTTTGTGCAGTAAAATAGCTAAGACTTTTCTCTCTCTCTCTTTTTTTTTTTTTTGGTTTTGGAGTTGTTTATTTCAACCTCCTAGTTTCCATAGTCCCAAACCATAGGAAAATATCTTTGGATAATTCCTCTATGCCAGTTCCTCAAACTTTGAGACAAGAAATGTCCTTGAGTGGATCCAATCACAGCATTGCCTTTTTCTCCAGAAGTACCTTCTCAGCTGCAGAGGTAGCTCAGGCAGCTCCGTAGGTCATATGTGACCTGGTGCCTCAGGGCCAAGGAATGAGATCAGTGGTGTATGTACACTGACCAGAATATGGCTAACAACTCTCTCTCCTAGGATTCTATTGAGATTCCCAGAACTTTGGTGAAGTGTATGTGTGACTGTGTGTGTGTGTATGTGTGTGTCTGCACTGAGGCAGTGTAAACCTAGGGGCTGAATACTGACCCATGCAGAGAGCAGCAAAGGAAGCTTGTCTGCAGTTGAAAATAGTAAAACATGTCAGGAAGGAGAAGCAGAGAGTACTGGTTCCCAGTAGCTTTGCAGCTCTTGCCCCAATCCTCACAAACAGTCTTGCAGGCACAGTCCTGTCATCTGCACAAACTTCCTTCTGGTTTCTTCAGTTCCTTCAGTCCTCCACAGTAACATCTACCTTTTGTTTCACTGTTTTCTTTTATTTTTTTTTGAGACGGAGTTTCACTCTTGTTACCCAGGCTGGAGTGCAATGGTGCAATCTCAGCTCACCGCAACCTCCGCCTCCTGGGTTCAGGCAATTCTCCTGCCTCAGCCTCCTGAGTAGCTGGGATTACAGGCACGCACCATCAGGCCCAGCTAATTTTTCGTATTTTTAGTAGAGACGGGGTTTCACCATGTTGACCAGGATGGTCTCGATCTCTGGACCTCGTGATCCACCTGCCTCGGCCTCCCAAAGTGCTGGCATTACAGGCGTGAGCCACCGCGCCCGGCCACTATGTTTTCAACTTCGACTTCCCTTTTCTAGTT